CGTATTCAATATTTGGGAGTGGACGTGTCAGCGGATGGGTCTATGAAAGATGAGGTGAATCATAGAATTGATGAGGGAAAAAGAGTGAGTGGTGCACTTAGGAGTCTGTGGAGACAAAGAACTTTGTCCTTGGAGGCAAAGAGGGGAATGTATGAGAGTATAGTTTTACCAACGCTCTTATATGGGGTGTGAAGCGTGGGTGATGAATGTTGCAGCGAGGAGAAGGCTGGAGGCAGTGGAGATGTCGTGTCTGAGGGCAATGTGTGGTGTGAATATAATGCAGAGAATTCGTAGTTTGGAAGTTAGGAGGAGGTGCGGGATTACCAAAACTGTTGTCCAGAGGGCTGAGGAAGGGTTGTTGAGGTGGTTCGGACATGTGGAGAGAATGGAGCGAAACAGAATGACTTCAAGAGTGTACAGTCTGTAGTGGAAGGAAGGCGGGGTAGGGGTCGGCCTAGGAAGGGTTGGAGGGAGGGGGTAAAGGAGGTTTTGTGTGCGAGGGGCTTGACTTCCAGCAGGCATGCGTGAGCGTGTTTGATAGGAGTGAATGGAGACAAATGGTTTTTAATACTTGACGTGCTGTTGGAGTGTGAGCAAAGTAACATTTATGAAGGGATTCAGGGAAACCGGCAGGCCGGACTTGAGTCCTGGAGATGGGAAGTACAGTGCCTGCACTCTGAAGGAGGGGTGTTAATGTTGCAGTTTAAAAACTGTAGTTGTAAAGCACCCTTCTGGCAAGACATGATGGAGTGAATGATGGTGAAAGTTTTTCTTTTTTCGGGCCACCCTGCCTTGGTGGGCCACCCTGCCTTGGTGGGCCACCCTGCCTTGGTGGGCCACCCTGCCTTGGTGGGCCACCCTGCCTTGGTGGGCCACCCTGCCTTGGTGGGCCACCCTGCCTTGGTGGGCCACCTGCCTTGGTGGGCCACCCTGCCTTGGTGGGCCACCCTGCCTTGGTGGCCACCCGCCTTGGTGGGCCACCCTGCCTTGGTGGGCCACCCTGCCTTGGTGGGCCACCCTGCCTTGGTGGGCCACCCTGCCTTGGTGGGCCACCCTGCCTTGGTGGGCCACCCTGCCTTGGTGGGCCACCCTGCCTTGGTGGGAATCGGCCAGTGTGATAATATATAAATAAATAATAATGTGTTGGCTTATTTAATCAATTATTCCCTTCTTTTTCTTTAAAACATCTTCAGCGTTGAACGTAAAAAAGTGGAAGGAGGTTAACGAGTGAGCAACTGGTGGATAAAAATCACACGCAGTTTGAAGAGCGGGCATGACAGTCCCCAGGCGGCCAGCATCCAGTATATCCTGGCCAGTTGCTTGAAGTTAAGATGCACCGAGCACTAAGGTGCCAAAAACATTGGAGGTGATGGCAGTATGACAGTGAACCACCCCTGGGTGCCACCTGCCACTCTAATTGCATGGTTAACGACCATTCACTGCCTACAAACACACCAAGAGTCACCTGTTCACCACCAGTCAAGAACTCTCTGGTCGTCAAATATAGACGAATAGGGACTAGACTTATCTCCCAGTGTATAAATACTCTGCAGTACACATCCCTTGACGTGTACACACACACAGCTGTTCTGAGTGTACACACACAGCTGTTCTGAGTGTACACACACAGCTGTTCTGAGTGTACACACACAGCTGTTCTGAGTGTACACACACAGCTGTTCTGAGTGTACACACACAGCTGTTCTGAGTGTACACACACACACATCACAAGAGAGAGAGAGAGAGAGAGAGAGAGAGAGAGAGAGATAGACACTCATCAAAATATATACAAGCTTTGAGATTGGTTAATAGGGGTTGGAAAAAAAAAGGTCAGTGGAGCACACGAAGGTCATTAAGGCTGCTGGTGGTGCTCTCTTCACCACCAGGGAAGAATACTTTACTCCCTTATATAGGAATTAAAGTCAACTCTCACCCTGTATAAACTGGGAGAATCACACTTCTCAGTGTAGACACATCCTGGGTCACCACCACCACTGGGAGAATCACACTTCTCAGTGTAGACACATCCTGGGTCACCACCACCACTGGGAGAATCACACTTCTCAGTGTAGACACATCCTGGTCACCACCACCACTGGGAGAATCACACTTCTCAGTGTAGACACATCCTGGGTCACCACCACCACTGGGAGAATCACACCTCTCAGTGTAGACACATCCTGGGTCACCACCACCACTGGGAGAATCACACCTCTCAGTGTAGACACATCCTGGGTCACCACCACCACTTCCAGAGTAAATGGAAACACCGTTAATGTCGAAGATTAAGACACATGTCCAACAGTTGAGTGTCTTTATTGATCAAACGTTTCGCCCACACAGTAGGCTTCTTCAGTCACACACAAAGGGAGCAGTAAAAATGTATTTGACGCTGTCAGTCCCTCAACTCCATGATTTATATCGTTCCAGACCATGGAGATGAACTCTTCTCCAGGCGGAGGGACTGACCACCTCAAATACTTTTTTCCAAAGCTACTAC